AGTACGGTAGATGAGAACGAATAAGAAAGCAGGAAAGCGCAAAATTGAAATGAGCAATGCTCATTTGGTGTGCAAAAACCACTATACAAGAATGCAGAAAAGTTCTGAAACGTAGAGTTCTGAAACGTCCCGAAGCCATTCTTTGGAGGCAAAAAAGGGGTATGTTATTCATAGATTCCGGTTGATTTGGCTCTTTTTCTGACGATTTTCCGAATATAATTTCAAATTGAAATTTATAGATTTCAATCAAAATTTCCTCAAATTTTCCATGATTTTTTCAACCGATTTTTGCTCATTTTCAGCCAAATTTTGGTCGCATTTTCACTATTTTTCAGGCAAAAATGTTCTTTTCAGCCTTCCCAAAAATCCACTCTTACCAGAAGCACGCTCCAGAAGAAGCACATCCTTGATATTTCGTTTTGTCAAATGATAGGCGACAGAGGATCCGGCTACACCGGATCCCAACACACACGCGAATACGTGTTTCGTCGCGGTCGACGAATTTCGAATCATCGTCGCCGCGTGCAAATGGTCCGAAGACGTGCGAATCAGTGAACGAGACGCGTGAAGCATCTGGAAATTGGGGAAATTGAAACTGGAAAAATAGGGAAGATAGAGAATTCAAGAAAACAGATAAAAAATGGGTCAAAATCGTCAAAAATGGGTCTTGGATATTTTTTTTCCGAATTTTCAGACAATTCTAGACAAACTTCTTGGGCCCAGCCCATTCCAGCTAATTTTGAATCGATTTTCAGCCAATTATCAGCCATTTTTAAAAAAGATTCTCAGCAAACATTCAACCAATTTTCAGCCAATTTTCAGCTAATTTTCAGTCAATTTGAGGAAATTTTCAGCCAACTTTCAACCAATTTTCAGCTAATTTTCTGCCAATTTTGGTCAATTTATGGTCAAAAATCGTCTAAAATGGGTCGAAAATCGTCAAAAATGAGTCAAAAATCGTCAAAAATGAGTCAAAAATCGTCAAAAATGAGTCAAGAATCGTCAAAAATGAGTCAAAAATCGTCTAAAAATGTCTTGAATCCATTTTTTCAGTTCTTTGATTAATTTTCAGACTGTTCAGGTTGAATTTTGGACCGTTTCTAAATAGTTTTCAATTGATTTTCAGCCAGTTTAAGGCAATTTTTTCTAGCTTTTCCTACTATTTCCAAAAAAAAAATCAGGGGCTATTTTTAGAAAATTCACATTTTGGCTCCCATTTTTCTCGAATTTTGAACACACGGCCAATTTTCAGCTAATAGTCCAAAATAGTGTTTTTTTCAGCTGAAAAATTACAATTTCCGGCTGAAAATGCATTTTTTATATTGTCATTTTTAGTCCAAAATTCTGAATTTTCAGCAATATTGATAGCCTTAGAGAAACTGAAAAATCGGGCAGTTTTTAGTTTTCAACTTTTCGTCGATTTTTCAAACTTTTTTCAGAAGAATTGACCAATAAATAAACAAAAGCATGGGAAAAAAGTTTAGACATTCAAAAAAGCGAATAAATGCATGAAGAGAACATAGAGAAAACGACAAAGAACGGCCGCCCGTGAATACATAGATAGATGTGTCTAAAAATGGAAGAAACGAGAGAGAGAGAGAAAAAGTCTCTTTTGCTGGTTTCCTAGTATACTCTTCTACTTGGCGACTAGTTTATTTATTAAAGAGAGGGAAATTGATGGGAGAAAAAGGGAATTTTTAGATTTTTTATACTGAAATTAAGCATAGTTGTGAGCGGGCCGGCCCGGACAGATAGCGGCTTGACTGATAACTTGTCCCTAGAACGAGATATTCAGACGGTATTGGTACCAAAGCATAGATCTCGACAGGGCTCATTACGCCTATATCATTTGTGCCGGGTCCCGGTCCGATAACATGTCCAAAAATGTGTTTGAATGACAATTTTCAAACAATTTGACAAAATAACAATTTGACAAAGGGGTCGGCGATGGGCTCAGAAGAGGGAGCACGCGACAAGTCGTCGTTGACTGGTGTCATTGTTCGTCGTTGTCGGCGGTACCTCAAACTTGGGTAATTAAACCTAAAATTCGACGATGCACCCATTCTCCTAGTCTAAACGAAACTTGGAGAATAAGACAATCCAACAAATGACACAAAAAAGAACAACAAGAAAACCAGATGACCCTATCTCACTCCCATCCTCATTTTTTTTCTTTCTCTAATCCTCTCTCTCTCTCTCTCTCTTTTCTCCAAACAACTTGCTCTCAGCTGTTTTCTTGTTTACTTCTCTATTTTCTTATTGAGCTTGGAAAAATGAGATAGGGATCTAAAAATAAAGAAAGATCATCCTATTTATAACTTTTGAAATGGATGGTCATATGGTTTGAGGATGGTTGCAAAAACCAAAAAATAAAAGATCCTAAGTTTTGTGTAGAAGATTGAAAAAGTATTCCTGGACAAAGCTGCTGAATATTTTCAAGGGTCAGAGACTTCGGCTNGACTNTTTTCCCATCAAATTTCGAACAATCAGAAACATTACGCATTTTTTGAAGTATGGGGGTTTTGGGTTGAATTTTGCTTCAGAAATCTTTAAAATTGGCCTATCTGAATACATTTGAAATTCCCGCCAAATCTAAAACTTCTAGGCCACAAATAGACAATGGGTATTTTTG